TAACTCTTCTCTCTATGGTTGGTAGAATTCACCTGTGAAGCCATCTGGTCCTGGACTTTTATTGTTGGGAGTTTTGTTTTATTACTGATTCAGTTTTATTACTGATAATTAGTATGTTCATATTTTCTATTTCTTCCTTATTCCATCTTGGGAGATTGTACATTTCTAGAAAATTTTCCATTTCTTCTATGTTGTCCATTTTATTGGCATATAGTTGTTCATAGTAATCTCTTATGACCCATTCTATTTCTGTGGTGTCACTTATAACTTCTTTTTCATTTCTCCTTTTATTTATTTGGGCCCTCTCCCTTTTTCTTTTGATGAATTTGGCTAATGGCTTAATGATTTGGTTGATCTTTTCAAAGAACCAGATCTTAAGTGTCATTGATCTTTTCTATTTTTTCAGTCTCTACTTTACTTATTTATGCTGTGATTTCTTTTCTTCTACTAACTTTGGGTTTTGTTTTTTCTTCTCCTAGTTTCAATAGGTGTAAGGTTAGGTTGTTTATTTGAGATTTCTCTTGTATCTTGAGAAAAGCTTGTATTGTATTTCCCTCTTAGAAATGCTTTTTGCTGAATCCCATTGATTTTGGATCTTATTTTTGTTTTCGTTTATCTCCAGGTTTTTTTCTTCAATTTCTTATTTGATTTCTTCAGTAATCCATTGGTTGTTTAGACTCCATGTGTTTGTGATTTTTGCAGGTTTTTTTCATGTAGTTGATTTCTAGTTTCAGAGCACTGTTGTCAGAAATGATGGCAGATATGGTTTCAATTTTCTTAAATTATACAAAGACTTGTTTTGTGGCCTAGTATTTTATGTATCTTTGAAAATGTTGCATGTGCACTTGAAAAGAATGTGTATTTTGTTGCTTTTGGATAGAATGTATAGATAGGTAGATAGATAGATAGGTAGGTAGGTAGATAGATAGATAGATAAAAAGAAAGATATAGAGGTTATCTGATCTAATGTGTCATTTAATGCCAGTATTTCCTTATAGATTTTCTGTTTGGATGATCTGACCATTGACGTAAGTGAAGTATTAAAGTCCCCTACAATTGTGTTATTGTCAATTTCTCCCTTTATGTCTGTTAATATTTGCCTTATATACTTATGTACTCCTGTGTTGGGCACATATATAATTGTTATATATTCTTCTTGTATCTATCCCTTTATCATTATGTAATGTTCTTCTTTGTCTCTTGTTACAGTTTTTGTTTTAAAGTATTTCTTTTCTGATAGAAGTATTAGTACTTTTGATTTCTTTTCATTACCATTTGCATGGCATCTCTTTTTCTGTCTTCTCACCTTCAATTCATTTGTGTCTTGAGATCCTAAGGAAGTCTCTTTTAAGCAGAATATATATATGGGTCATGTTTTTGTATCCATTCTACCACTCTATGTTTTTTGATTGGAGTATATAGTCCATTTATATTTAAAGTAATTTTTAATAAGTTATTTTTGTTCATTTCTTCTTCTTTTGCTCTTTTCCCTTGTGATTTGATAAATAACTTCAATGTTATGTCCAGATTTCTTTCTGTCTTTTGTGTCTGTTCCTATTATGGATTTTTGATTTGTGGTTACCATGAGGTTTAAATATAGCTAGCTAGTTAGGTAGATAGATAGATATGGTTATTTTAAGTTGTTGATCCCTTAAGTTTTAATATATTTTTACAGCCTTGCATTTTTAATCCTCCCCATTTATTATTTTAGCATGTGTATCCCTTAACCACGTATTGTGGATATTGATGATTTTACTACATTTTTCTTTTAACATGTGTATCCCTTAACCACGTATTGTGGATATTGATGATTTTACTACTTTTTTCTTTTAACCTTTCTACTAGCTTTATATGTGGTTGATCTGCAACCTTTACTGTATATTTGCCTCTACCAATGAGATTTTTCACTTCATAATTTTCATATTTCTCATTCTGGCCTTTTCTTTTCTGCTTAGAGAAATTCTTTTAACATTCTTTTAAAGCTGGTTTTTTGCTACTGGACTCTTTTTGCATTTTCTCGCCTGTAGAACTTTTAATATCTCCTTCAAATCTGACTGATAACAGGTTGAGTATTCTTCATGTTAGATTTTTCCCTTTCATCACTTTAAATACAGCATGGCACTCCCTTTTGGTCTGCAGAGTTTCTGCTTAAAAGTCAGTGATAGTATTATAGGAGTTCCATTATATGTAAATTGTTGCTTTCCCTTGCTGCTTTTAATAGCCTATTTTATTTTATTTTTTCATTGTAATTACAATGTCTCTTGGTGGAGTCTTATTTGATCCTGCTTGGGACTCTCTCTAATTCCTGGACCTGGATGTCTGTTTCCTTTCCTAGGTTAGTGAAGTTTTCAACTATTATGTATTTAAATATATTTTTTGCCCCTTTCTCTTTCTCTTCTTCTTCTGGGACTCCTATAATGCAACTGTTAGTGTGCTTGATATTGTCTCAGATGTTCAGGGGTCTCTTAAACTGTTCTCTCTTTTTTTAATTCTGTTTTTTAATTCTGTTTTCTTTTCTTCTGTTTAGCTAAAGTGATTTCCACTACTCTATATTCCAGTTTGCTGATCTATTTGTATATATCATTGAATCTACTGTTGATTCATTCAAGCACTTTTTTATTTCAGTCATTGTATTCTTCACCTCTATTTGGTTCTTCTTTACATTTTCTAACTCTTTTTATTTTTAACTATTCTAACTATGTCTATCCATTTTTTTCCCCTCCTGAGTTCTCTGAGCATCTTTATAATCACTGCCATTAACTCTTTGTTGGGTAGGTTGCTTATCTCCAATTCAATTAGTTCTTTTTCTGGGGTATTAACTTGTTCCATTATTTGGAACATTCTTCTGTCACTTCATTTTGACTAATTTGCTGTTTTTATTTCTTTGTATTTTGTAGGCTGTTTACATTTCCTTATCTTAGAGAAGCAGCCTTATGTAGGAGACATACTATGAGTAACAGTAGCACACTTCTCTCTTATCACCAGAGCTATATGCTCTAGGGATGCCCCCCATATGGGCTATGTGGGTCCTTCTGCTGTGGCAAGCTGACTACTGTGGACACACTGGTAAGCATGGCTGTCCATTGGTCCAGTTGTTTGCCAGGCCCTGCCTTGTGTGGAGATTGTTGTCCTCTGGTAGGTAGGGCCAGATCCTGCCACGGCTGTCTGCATAAGCAGGGGAGTCCTGTTCCTGGTGCCAGCCCACTACTGGGTGTGGCCATGTCATGAGGTGGCAGGCTGCAGGGCTAGAATCTCAGAGCTAGGATCCATCTGCTCTTGTGCTAGGCCATGGCTGAGGGGCCCAAGATGTCCTGGAACTGGCACTGGCCTCCTGACAGGTGAATCTGGTGTCCTAGGCTTCCTGATGCTAGTGCCCACCCAATGGTGGGTGAGGCTTGGTCCTGGGATAGATACTCATAGCCCATCATGTGCAGAGTCAGAACCTGAGCTCTCTGGCTGTGGGACTGGGGTTTCAGAGCTGGTGTCAGCCCAATGATGGATGGAGCTGGGACCCAGAAGTTCCTGTGTCTAGTTCTGACCCACTGGGTACAACTAAGTCCTAGGGTCTCTGGCTGCAGTGTGCAGGGTTCCCAAAATTGGTGTCTACTCACAAGCAAGGGGGTGGGTGTACTAGGGCCCAGTAGGTCCCAGAACTGTGCCCACCCTTGGCAAAAAGGCTGGATCCCAGGGCTATTGCTTGCCCACTGGTGGGTAAAGCTGGGTCTTAGATTCTTTGGTTCTGGAGTCTTGACTTCATGACTTGGTGTTGGCTTGCTGTGGGTGGGGCTGGATCCTGGGTGCCCTGGTGAGCCAGGCATGGTCCAAGGGCATCTGGAAGCTCAAGGGGTCCAATATAGCCAGATTGCTGGTGGGTGGGATTTTGTCCTTGCACAGCTAGCTGCTAAGCCTAGGGCATCCCAGGACTGCTGCTGACCCCCTATTGGGTGGGACCACACCATAGTGCTAATAAGCTAAGAAGGGGATTCCAAAACGGTATTGTCAGTACCAGTGTCCTTATGGATGAGCTTCCAAAAATGAATGCTGCCAGTGTCTACAAACCCAGAATGAATCCCAGTTGTCTTCTACCTCTCTGGGAGGCTTTCCAAGGTCAGCAAGTGAGTCTGACCCAAGTTACTTTTAAATTACTGCTTCTGCCCGGGAGTCAGAACTTCTGAGATTTTGTATGTGCCCTTTAAGAGTGGAGTCTCTATTTCCTACAGCTCTGTGGCTCTCCTGAACATAGATACCACTGGCCTTCAGAGCCAAATGTTCTAGAGGCTTGTCTTTCTGTTGCGGACTCCCTGGGCTGGGAAGGCCAATGTGGAGCTCAGACCCCTCATTCCTTGTGGAGAACTTATGCAATTATAATTATTCTTCCATTTGTGGGTCACTTCCCCAAGGGTATGGCTGTTGACTATACTGTGTCTCCACCCCTCCTACCCATCTTGTTGTGATTACTCTTCTATCTCTTTAGTTGTAAAATATATTTTTCTGCTAGTGTTCAGGTTGTTCTCATCAATAGTTGCTCTATAAGTATCTGTAATTTTGATGTGCTGTGGGAGGAGATGAGATCAGGGTCTTCTTACTCTGCCATCTTGGCCACTTCCCCTTGTATATTTTTATGATAAAGCTTGGATAATATCATTCTCCTGTACATTTTTAAGTGTATGGACAATTCATCTATGTTCAATTGTTTTCAATTCGCATTTTGTTTCTTGCAGGAAGTTAAATGTTAGGACCTATTACTGAGGAACAGGTGGGCAATTCATCTTGTTTACTTATCACTCTGTAAGGAGAAACATTTTCTCATATGCTCCATAAAACAATGCATTTGCACAGAAAATATAGGCATTAATAATTTTTTTAAGAATAATTTGGAGGATGCAGGGAAAGGAGCCATGTTTCATTAAGGCACTCAACAACACCATTTTTTAAAGAAAATCTTTAGGTTCACATAGCTAAATAGATAGATCATATAGATTATTTCAGGTAATTATTTTTTACATTGTCTTGGAATCATCCAAAAATTCAAGAGAGATAGTTTGAAGATTCTCTTTCTTATGATGAATTTCCAAAGCACTGTCCTTGCATCTTACACACGACTGAAGAATCAAACTACTACGTTCCAAAAATCCATCACGCAATTCTGAGGTCATAAAATAATATACAACTGGATCAAGACAGCAATTTAGATTTGCAAGACACAGGGAAATGATGTGGAAACATAGAGTACTCTTAATAAATGAGCAGTTTGAAAAGACTTGTTGCTTAACCATCATAAAGAATGGGAAGTTGAGGTGGTAAGGGGTGAAACATACAATAAATACCACTGCGCACATTAGGACCATCCACAAAGCCTTTTTTCTCTCCTTGGTATTCTGAAGGGGAACTTGGAATTCCTGTAAAATTTTTCTTGTTCTCCATGTGCAATAAATAATAGTTACAACAGGTAATACAAACCCTCCAAGTTCAGCTACAGTTATCATGCCAATAGAGGATGCCATGCTAATGTGTTGAAGCCCTAAATCAGCAAAGCAGGATTCAGTGTTGTTGGCTAAGCCAGCACTTCTCAGAATTGGAAGTGGCAAACAGGCGGCCCCAACGATGACCCAGATGGCAGCACTGATGCCCACATCATACCTACGCTTCCAGTCTCTTGCCCTGAAGGGCTTGAGGAGAAAGAAGCACCTCTGAAGGCTGATGCATGTCAGGAAACAAATGCTGGCATACATGTTGAGATACTTCAGGTAGAAGCACAGCAGGCAAAGGGCCCTCTGGAAAGGCCAGTGGTGACTGATGTAATAGTAAATCCGGAGGGGTAAGGACAGCACATGAGCAAGGTCAGCCACAGAGAGGTTGATCATGAAAATGATGGCTTTATTTTTCTTGCTGATGAAGCGGCACAGAACCCACAAGGCTGCACTGTTGGCCAGAAGACCAGGGATGAATATGAGGATGTAAGTGGTTGCATAGAGGGAGTACTGAAATGGCATTTGAAGATCAGTGCACTTTGCTCTTGTACTGTTTGCACTGTTACTTCCCATCTTGAATATTTGTGTTCCTTCCTTAAGGAAATCATTAGAGTGGTGATTTCTGCAAAAAATAAAGTAAAAATAGGGTCAAGGGCACATCAGTCCATGTTTGGGTATACAAATATATTTGTTTTCTACCAAAGAGGTATTCAAGTGTGAACTTTCATAAATTCAAAAAACACTTTTCTGTATAAACTGAAAATATCTTGCCAATGTATAACAGTATTGTGGAAGGTATTTTCTGGGATCAAAAAGATCACTATTTCAGCAGTATTCTCAGTCGGTATTTTCCCTTAGTAGTCAGAGGAAGTAATTAAACTTGCAGATATAACCTATAAGCAAGTCTTCACTGGCAAATAGCCCCCAAGCTTATATTCCAACAGCCTTATAGGGATCCACATTTCAGTTTTACAATTGTTTCCATCTATACTTTAAAAGTTTGAGATCTAGTTGACTTCTCTATCATCAACCTTGAGAGAGATAAAATTCAATCTATTTTGAATGGCAAACTTATCAGGGATTAGATGACTGCTGAGATGAGCTTATGAATGTTTAAGGATGAAACATGGGATAAAGGCCTGGGAAAGGGCTAGCAGGTCAGCAGGACTTGGAAAGATAGGAGATTGGAAAAAAATGGTACAACTCAGATAACCTTTGTCTCAGAATTTGGCTGAGGGCACAGGTAGTTCTACTTATATACTGTGGCATTTTCCAGAAAGCTCAGTAACTTTAGAGGTCTGTGTTTATTAACAGAGTTATGATAGCTTCAGACATTCACATTTTTGAGACAGTTCATACAGTGCCAATCTACACTTTTGTGCTGACTACGTGGGGCTCTCAGATAGATTATATTTACTAACTGACAGTTCATTGCAGTCAACCAGTTCATTCAAGTAAACAACTACTTTAAATGTGTTTGTTTCCACTGAGTTGACTGTTTGCTTAATTGGCTAGTTAATTTAGCAAACTGTAGATAGATTATCTTTTTTGTGATTTCTTTGTTTATCCACTGGATTAACTAAGATAATTGATCTTGGGTTCTCTATACTCTGTCTAAATTAAAAAAAAAACACACAAAGCTGAAACAGAATTATTCTTGAAAAAAATTTAAGGAACAGTTAATATACATGAAATCTTCCCTGATCACTCTGGTTTTGGTACAGTAATAGTTAACAATCACTGAATGCCTACTTTGGACAAGATGCTGTAATAAGTACTTTAAATACACTCCCAGAAATTTTCTCACAGCAATCCTATGCAACAATAAAATGTTACCACTATTTTACAGAAGGAGAAACTGTGGCCCCAAGAAAGGCAAGGCTCACTTCCTCCAAGAAAGCCTTTCCAGGCCTCTTCAAACCACAGATAACTACTACGACCTCAGTTTCCCCAGTTGTGATAATTTTCTTTAGTGCATCAACACACTAAAATGCTGTGGTTATTTGCCTTCCATGGAGTTCATTTTGTTTCCTGAATGGATTGCAATCTTCTACATATATATCAAAAACTCATTATCTTACTTCTTCCTTTCCTCCATAGTAAAGTGCCTAGTAAATTGTCTGGAACATATTAGATATCCACTAATTTTTTTTTAGTAAATGACTGAAGACACAACAAATAGATGAATCAGGGAAAAAGTCCTACTGAAAGGAGGACAATGAGTGTCTGGGGAATTAGAATTTAACTGTGATGTTTGATTTGACCACCAGATGTCATAATTATACCAACGTTCAAACATCTTTTGATCTTTAACACATTATTTTAAAATTTCACTAATAGAGACATCAAAATAAAAGATAGAAGTATCAATAACATCATGTGTAATATCAGAAGAAGAATCTTTTAAAGGGCACTTTAGAGAGTCTGAATTTATTTTATTTTATTTTTTTCAGACATCATACTTCCTCATATAGTTCTCTGAAAACAGTTTGGCTTCTAAATTCATTGCAGATTCCTAGAATATTAGAACTGTTAAAGGCCATTAAGATCTTCTGATCCTGTCACTTTTTATAGATGAGAAAACCAAGATCAAAAACAGGGAGATTAAATTCTCCAAATTCACAAGAAAATTAGCGGCAAAGGCTGAACAGGGTCTCTTGCCTCCCTCTACAGAACAAATTTTACTTTTCCAGGAACTTCTAAGAGGAAAACCATATTTTTGTAATAATAATGCAAACTTTCAGAAATAAACCAATGCCATACTTTAGAACACTAACTTTGACAGTGAACTGTTACAAGCAAAAAAGATTAGTTCCTTCTAAATATTCCAGGACAAACACAGTGTTTTTAAAAGCAGAGTGAGTATTTCTAAGTCCCTAATGATAATACTGTGTAAAAAGTCTGCTTAAAAGTCTTAGCTTGTTTGTAAATGTTCATTACTTCTCCATACAGAAATAGAGTTTCATAATAGAAAACAGATATAAGCGAAAATAACCCAAAATATATACACATCTATCACCAATATTTCCATTGCAAACATTTCGGTGTATAATATTTTATATTTTTTCTGTGCCTATAGATCTGTAAATGAATGCTTGTGTAGATATTTTTACCAAGCTTTAGTTGTATACACAAGCTATTTTAAAATTACAGTTTGTATTCAATCATAATTATTAAATTCTTGGGCCTTACCCCAGATCTACACCAAAGTGGTCAGAAAATCTTACTATGGAAATCCCACTGCAAGCATCCATGGCTTGGTTGCTGGCGTCTTCAGGATTTTCCCAGTTTCCCTTTACAGTCATATAGTTAGACTATGTTCTCCAGGGACTCTGGCCCTTAAAATTGCTTTACAAGTAGAAAGCTCCCTTTATTTTATTTAAACCTTTCAGTTCTTCTCAAAATACTAGCTTTGCAAATGGATTTTAGGTAAATGGTACTCCATCTAGATTAGAGACCACATCCTCTTTTCTCCAACTATAGGACCATGAATATTTTCCACCTCTGCCTGTCAATGCTTGCTAGAGACAGGTGCTGGTTTTAGATAACAAAAGGTTTGGAAACAGAATAATCTAACCACTATTGTGCTCCTTTGGCTTTGTCTGAATTTCATGTTTCTTAATGGGGACTGAGCCAGCAGAGATGGTTACAGACCACTACATTTTCAGAGAAGTTACCAATAAGGACTACAGTAAATTGTCTGCTTATGTCTGGTCCAAGTAATTGGTCCTAGAAATAGAGGACTTTTCCACAGAAAATCTTTAAAATAATTTAAATCCTCACATACATGAGCTCATTTGGCGAAGCACATGCACATAGTGGTAAAGTAACTTGCCCAGGGATAAAGAGCTCCATAGTTAATTAGACTTTGAAATATAGCTAGAAATCAGCCTCTCTCTCTAATAATCTTTCTACTTCACTTGACTGCCTCCCTCTTGAGAAAAGATTCTATGAGAACCTCCCCACAGATGAGTGCACTGATGGTAGGTAAAGGTAGGGAGCAACTGAGCTGTGGCTCAGTGGGAAAAAGAGATGAATATTCATAGGAATTTTACTACAGTAATTTAACCTTTCTTATTCCCCTCCACCTATAACAGTCATTCTTTGAATTATACACCAGACTTGGGGCCTTTCCCTTGATTATCTCACTTCATATACCTTCAAGTGCAAAAAAAATCCTTATCTGGGACTTAGAATATAACTTTCCCTCTAAAAATAATAAATATTATTTAATTAATGTAATATTTTACATGTCTTCAATGTATTAAACATTGTTTTAGGTACTGATGATAGGGTGGTAAAAAGACAGGCATGAAGCTTTTAATCTCATTGAACTATATCCACCCCACAAAATAATATTCATCCATGAAAGTTATATTTAACTTGTACCTTCTTAATGGAGGATTCTATGAATGCCTTTCACAGCCCTCCTGCTACAGTCCATTTCAAGTAATAGAATCAATAATGTAATGAACCAATTCACATTGAAATATTAGTGACTGGTTATAACTTAAAATAGTATTATTTGCAAGGATATTTGTACTTAAGGTGAAATTAAAGAAAAAATAAGTTAATTCAAAGAATTGAATGGTGGATTTTCAAACAGTTAAGCTTTAGTTAAAAGACACTTGGAGCAGGGAATTTTCTGTAGCCCTCAAATCATAGCTATTGACTAATAATCTACTATGTACCTGTGTAAATCCAGCTTTGCAATAAAGCTTACTGTTCCTTAATGATAGTAACATAAAAGCTTACACTATCTACATTGAGTTGTATTATTTCTCTGTTCCAATTTACACTCAAAGATGGTGATATTGGAAAATAAGGCCCAGGAAGGGAAATTCAGAGACTAACGTTACAGCAAAACCCCAGTGTCCATACAGAATCCAGTAACACAATGGTAACATTAATTCTTATTTACTTCATGTTACATGACTGCAGGAAGACATAATGATCAGTATTTCATGTCCACCACAGTGAAAATGTTTTCTTCTCTCTCCAGGCCCACTACCCCGTGTCTTTCAGCCAAAAGAATGGCCAAATGTAGTCTACTAAGGAACTAAAAGGATAAGTAACATTCTATTAGTAATTTAGCATTGTGGTAAAAAGCATAGAATTTGGTGTTAAATTGTATAACTTTGGATACTGGCTCTGTCACATACAAATTGTGAGCAAATTTCTGATGCATAAACAATGTACAAAATCAAGAGCTATGATATAAAACCCATGTGTTTATAGTTAACTAATATTTGAGAAAAGAGCCAAGAATATTTATTAAAGAAAAGACAGTCTTTTCAACAAGTGGTACTGGGAAAATTGGATATTCACATGCAAAAGAGTGGAACTTGATTCCTATTTTATACCACTACAAATACTAACCAGAGATGGATTAAAGATGTAAGTGTAAGACCTGTAATGATAAAACTTCAAAAACAAAACAAAAACAAGCGAGACTACATCAAGTCATAAACCTTCTGCACAGAAAAGAAATGATTAACAAAATCAAAAGACATCCTACAGAATGGTAGAAAATATTTGCAACCCATAAATATAATAAGAACTTAATATCCAAAATATATAATAAACTCATACAACTCAATAGCAAAAGAGCA